CAACATCTCCCCGTGGGTCCTGAGAGAAGGAGCAGAGAAGCTGTGCGTGCCACTAACCACAATCTTCAATACATCCCTTGAAACTGGGCAACTACCTGAGGTATGGAAGACGGCAAATGTAGTCCCCATTTTTAAGAAAGGAGACAGAAACGAGGCACTAAACTACAGACCATTGTCTCTGACGTGTATAGTATGCAAAGTCATGGAGAAGATTATCAGGAGGAGAGTAGTGGAGCACCTGGAACGGAACAAGATTATAAACGACAACCAGCACGGATTCATGGAAGGAAAATCCTGTGTCACAAACCTTCTGGAGTTCTATGACAAGGTAACAGAAGTAAGACACGAGAGAAAGCGGTGGTTTGATTGCATTTTTCTGGACTGCAGGAAAGCCTTCGACACAGTTTCTCACAGGAGATTATTGCAGAAGCTGGAGGACCAAGCGCATATAACAGGAAGGGCACTACAGTGGATCAGAGAATACCCGACAGGGAGGCAACAACGAGTCATGGTACGTGATGAGGTATCATAGTGGGCGCCTGTGACGAGCGGGTTCCCACAGGGGTCAGTCCTAGAACCAGTGCTATTTTTGATATATGTGAATGAGATGATGGAAGGGATAGACTCAGAAGTGTCCCTGTTCGCAGATGATGTGAAGTTAATGAGAATTAAATCAGATGAGGATCAGGCAGGACTACAAAGAGACCTGGACAGGCTGGACACGTGGTCCAGCAACTGGCTTCTCGAATCCAACCCTGCCAAATGCAGTCATGAAAATTGGGAAGGGCAAAGACCGCAGACAGAGTATAGGCTAGGTGGACAAAGACTGAAAATCTCACTCAAGGAGAAACATCTTGGGGTGAGTATAACACCGAGCATGTCTCCGGAGGCACACATCAACCAGATAACTGCTGCAGCATACGGGCGCCTGGCAAACCTGAGAACAGCGTTCCGTTACCTTAGTAAGGAATCGTTCAAGACACTGTACACAGCGTACGTCACGCCCATACTGGAGTATGCAGCACCAGTTTGGAACCCACACCTGGTCAAGAACGTCAAGAAATTAGAGAAAGTGCAAAGGTTTGCAACAAGGCTAGTTCCGGAGCTCAGGGAAATGTCCTACTAAGAAAGGTTGAGGAAAATCGGACTGACTACACTGGAGGACAGGAGGGCCAGGGAAGACATGATAACGACATAAAAAATACTGCGTGAAATAGATAAGGTGGACAGAGACAGGGTGTGCCAGAGAGTGGACACAGAAACAAGGGGTCACAGTTGGAAGCTGAAGACTCAGATGAGTCACAGGGATGTTAGGAAGTATTTCTTCAGTCATAGAGTCGTCAGGAAGTGGAATAGCCTAGCAAGTGATGTAGTGGAGGCAGGAACCATACATAGCTTTAAGACGAGGTATGATAAAGCTCATGGAGCAGGGAGAAAGGACATAGTAGCACTCAGTGAAGAGGCGGGGCCAGGAGATGAGTATCGACCCCTGCAGCCACAATTAGGTGAGTACACACACTAGATCATTAAGATAAGTGATTCCCCGAATTTAAATTACAACAAGTTCAAGATTATATTAATTGGGAAAGAGGGAAAAAGACCGGACTTGGAGTACAGAGATTGTAGACCTAATTTAAAAAATAGAGACCTAGGGGTGAGCAGTGTCTGGCAAAGTTCAGACCTCTACAACACTATTGTCCTAAAAGATTTGTTAAGTTATACCATGAATTAAGGAAAGATCCTGGACTTCACCTTACGAAAGCAAACAAAGTAAATGCGATAGTAATTATGGACAAGGTAGATTATAAGGTAAAAATAAATATGATATTAGGAAACAGGGAAACTCAGGCGCCTCTTAAGATCTGGAGTAAGTGTAACAAGGCTCCTGAGGTAGGTAGCATGAACTACGAGGAGACGTTGGACTTAACGACGTTGGACGATAGAAGAACCAGGGAGAACATGATAACAACATACAAAATACTTAGGAAAATTGGTAAGGTAGACAGGGATAGGCTGTTTCAGAGGCGAGAAACGGGAACTCAAATACTTCTGGATGTTAAGAAATATTTTTTTTAACCTGAGATATCGGGTACTTCTTGGCGAAGAAGTGGTGGTGGCAGGCTGTGTACAGTGTGAAGAACAGGTACGATAGGGCCCATGAGGGTAATAGGGAGTGAATCTAAAGAGTCACAAATTAAGCTGTAGGGCCTGGATACGAGACTTGACCCTTGCAACTATAAATAGGTGAGTACAAATAGTATAACGCTCTACTTATCTTAATTAATTAAATTATACCCTGAGTAAGTTTTGACATCAAAGTTAAGAATTATTTTGCTTTTTATTGGAAGGTAATTGTCTTTTTTCAGACGTAACTAATGTTGTCTTGGAGGCACGCAAGAAAACTTTGCTCCAGATATCGACACCAAGAACCACATCCTGTGTTGAAATTATTCGTATTATATATCATAAGAAATATCTAATGTAGAAGAAACAGTGTGATCATGAGTAATGTTAGCCTGACCTGAGAGATTTCTCTAGTTTGATGAGGATATCGTCAAAATTTTGAGTGTTCAGCATCTCTGTTACGTGGGTTAGTTTAATGTTTATTATGCACCACATACCCATCCTGTGGGCGGCAGTCAAAAGATTACAGAGGTACATAATGGGTCAAGGGACTGGACCCCAAAGTTCTGATAGCTGAACTAGTTACAAAGGTAATGAACTCCAGGTAGATCTGGTCACAGTCATGACAAGTTACACAGGTATTTACAGATTACAGAGGTACATAATGGGTCCAGAGACTGGGCCCCAAAGTTTTGATAGCTGAACAAGGTACAAAGGTAATGAAGTTACTTGGGTATTACTATATTTTGATGCTCTGTCATACAGAGTTGTGGTAATTATGAGGACACCGTTAATCTAAGGATATATAATTAGTCAGGGGTGCCTACAAAGCCCATGTTTATGAGTTGGCTTCAGAGGTCTATGATAAAATCTTCGTATAGTACATTATATAGCAAGGATCCATTTTTTATTTTTTTTACTGGCCAAATAAGTTTATTTAGGTGTAGGTACAGATAAGTACAATTATCAAACATAGTTTAACATGTGTAAATTACCTAGAATAACCCCAAAACAAAGTCAGTGACTTATTTCCACTGGGTCCTTGTAATGGCTTAATATTTCAAGCCTAGTTGAAAGTTAGAGTAGAAATCAGTCGTGATTATAACCTTAAAAATTAAAACAACAAACTCAACTTATTATTATTATTATTAAAGATTAGCCGGTATTCTCCCGGCCCGGGCCTTTTCCAAGTGGTGGCCCGGCCTTGGCTCCCTCTTTAGGGAGTGTCTGAGACCTAAGTCTCCCATGGGAGGAGGCACAAGTACCTCCTCATCTTTGGGACCAACTGTCCCCAGGCCTAGCCACAAGCTAGGCCTCTCTGGTCCGCCATCCCCGCCCCAAGGGGGCAAATGGGAATGACAGTCTTATGAGCTAAAGGCTCGGGCTCAGGCACCTACCCTACCCTAGAAGGGTTAGGCATGGTGTCGATCTAACTCAACTGTGTGAAAATCAGTTACAATTATACAGAGTACGACCTTATAGCCGATGTGCTAAAATTACATATATATATATATATATATATATATATATATATATATATATATATATATATATATATATATATATAATATATATATATATATTATATATATATATATATATATATATATATATTCCAGCTATAGAGGTGGTACTTCCCTATATATTTATATATATAGTATATATATATATATATATATATATATATATATATATATATATATATATATATATATATATATATATATATATATATATATATATATATCGTGCAGAATATGTAAAACTGGTCAGTTAGCAAGAACTCATTTTAAATTAAGTCCTTTCTAAAATTTTCTTTTATACGTATAAAGATATATTTTTTCATTACTGTTAATGCAAAAATTTATAATTTTGCACCAAAAGAATCTTAGAAACCGTATTGTAACATTCGCAATTTATTTTAGCCTAATCCTACTAAATATATTTTAAATACGTTTACAATAATTTAATACTAAACAAACACAATGAAATATATTTTTTTCGTTAGGTTCAGAATTATTTTTGCGAAATTGTTGCATACACAAATTTTCGCTTGTCTTATATGGCAAGACGACCGTTGCTATTTATCGCAAGTTTTACATATTCGGCACGACATATATATATATATATATATATATATATATATATATATATATATATATATATATATATATATATATATATATATATATATATTATAATATACATAACATATAATATATATATATATATATATATATATATATATATATATATATATATATATATATACATATATATATATGGAGGCAGTGGAGATGGCATGTCTGAGGGCAATTTGTGGTGTGAATATAATGCAGAGAATTCGTAGTTTGGAAATTAGGTGCGGGATTACCAAAACTATTATCCAGAGGGCTGAGGAAGGGTTGTTGAGGTGGTTCGGACATGTAGACAGAATGAAACTAAACATAATGACTTCGAGAGTGTATAAATCTGTAGTGGAGGGAAGGTGGGGTAGGGGTCGGTCTAGGAAGGGTTGGAGGGAGGGGGTAAACGAGGTTTTGTGTGCGAGGGGCTTGGACTTCCAGCAAGCATGCGTGAGCGTATTTAATAGGAGTGAATGGAGACAAATGGTTTTTAATACTTGACGTGCTGTTGGAGTGTGAGCAAAGTAACATTTATGAAGGGGTTCAGGGAAACCGGCAGGCCGGACTTGAGTCCTGGAGATGGGAAGTACAGTGCCTGCACTCTGAAGGAGGGGTGTTAATGTTGCAGTTTAAAAACTGTAGTGTAAAGCACCCTTCTGGCAAGACAGTGATGGAGTGAATGATGATGCAAGTTTTTCTTTTTCGGGCCACCCTACCTTGGTGGGAATCGGCCGATGTGTTAATAAAAAATAATAATATAAGTGGGTTCTCTCCCCAGATGACGAGTATTGGAGTGTTGGTGATGGTGTTGGTGGTGATGGTGGCTCGTGAGGGAGATTCTGTGGTCAAACAATCACAGTTTTTGAAGATAACTCAGACCCAGGGCGAAGGTACTGTCCTCTTTGAGAAAAAAGTAAGTATGGGTAAAACAATTCACTTTTTTCAGACATTAAATTATCACATGGCATAATTAGTAATATAACCCATAAAATGCCTGGTAGGTAGAAATGACAATGCCTAAGTTACGAGGCTAGTCCAAGGCCTAGTCACCGTCCTAAAGGTGTGACACACTAATTATTTTATTGTAAAATATATATATGCCCTCCTGTCCATCCTGTGGGCGTTAGTCAAAAGATTAGAGAGGTACATAATGGGTCCAGGGACTGGACCCCAAAGTTTTGATAGCTGAATCTTTTCGCAGACCAGAGTAAGTAAGTTTATTCAGGTATACACAAATAGTTACATAGAATTATCATACATAGCAGCATATGTGTAGAGAACCTAGGATAACCCAAAAAAGTCAGACAGAGTGACTTATTTCCATTGGGGTCCTTTTACCTTATTATTATAATATAAAGGTCATAATATTTTCTTATTATTCTATAATGAAGATAACATCTTATTATCATACTAAAAAGACTATCTACTACACGAGGGTCATTAAGACTATCTACAATACGAGGGTCATTACTAGGAATAAGGTAAAATTTACACGTATGTTAGCTAAAAAATAGAAAATCATTCTCCTCCCTTTCTGTAGCTACATTCATCAGACACCTTTTGGCACTCTTCTTGAACTGGTTCATGCTATGACTGGCTTTGACATGTGCGGGTAGTCTGTTCCATTCCTTTATTGCTGTACAATAAAAGGTGTTTGAAGCCTGGTCACTGACTGTGGTTACTACAAAGTTGTGCTCTCTCCCCCTAGTACTATGATTGCTTTGGTTCCCAACCTTGACAGAATTGACAGCAAGATATTCTGGACACTGTTTGTGAGCAATTTTATAAACATGATTTAGCTTCAGTTGTTTTACTCTGTCTTCAACATTCAGCATATCCAACTGCTGTAATTCATCCTGGCCTACATGTTCTCTTGGTCCCAGCCCCAGGATGAATCTTACGATTTTATTCTGGGTGATTTGCAGTCTATCTTTCAGTTTTTTTGTCAAGGCCGAGTACCATGAAGAGCAAGCGTAATCCATATGACACTGTATAACGGCCAGACATAGGGTCCTGCGAGCCTCAGTAGGTAGACACTGTGCTTGTCTATACAGGAACTTCAGTCTGGCATTCGCTTTCTTTACTACACTGTTCCCTATCAATTCTCCTGACATGCATGGGTCAAAGGGGATTCCCAGATATTTTACTGAGGGAACCGAAGTGATGTGCTTCCCATTACACTGGACATTAAAATTATTTACCCTTCTCAGTTTATGTTTCGTGCCAAAGAGAATGGCTTCAGTTTTCCCGAGGTGTAATGATAGTTTGTTGTCTACTAACCATTTGCTGCAGGACTCCAGCTCCAGTGTTAAAACATTAGCTATATCTTGTGGGTCTTTACCTGACACTAACAGGGCACTGTCATCTGCATACAGTAGGAGTTTGCACCTGACACTGATAGGCATGTCATTGACATAACATAAGAATAATAAGGGACCCAGAATACTACCTTGGGGAACTCCACATGTTATCGGCAGGGGTTCTGATTCCGTTTTGTTGATTTTGACTATTTGTCTCCTGTTGCTAAGGTAGGACTTAAACCAGTCTACAGAACTTATACCGATAGCTTGAAGTTTCTTAGGTGGCCCGGTGGCCTGGTGGCTAAAGCTCCCGCTTCACACACGGAGGGCCCGGGTTCGATTCCCGGCGAATGGAAACATTTCGACACGTTTCCTTACACCTGTTGTCCTGTTCACCTAGCAGCAAATAGGTACCTGGGTGTTAGTCGACTGGTGTGGGTCGCATCCTGGGGGACAAGATTAAGGACCCCAATGGAAATAAGTTAGACAGTCCTCGATGACGCACTGACTTTCTTGGGTTATCCTGGGTGGCTAACCCTCCGGGGTTAAAAATCCGAACAAAATCTTATCTTATCTTATATATTGTGGTTGACAGTATCGAAGGCCTTTTGCAGGTCTAAGGTTACCATACCTATGAGGTTCCCCTTTGACATTTCAGTTCTCAGGTAATCCTATCAGCAATTTGACACTGGAATTCTTAAAATGAAATGTCAATCATCATTTTTTTCATAGTTAAGTTTTGTACATGATGAATTGATTAAATATTACATTATATTATCGAGATTGCATCAAATGTTGTGTACAATCATAAGGGCTTCCTTAAACTTTAAATTTTCGAAATTAGGCTTGGGTAAACGAGTTTAGTCTTAAATAACTATGTAATTAATTCATAATAAATTATATTTTTTGCCATGAATGGGATGTAACTTTCAAAACTTTGCCGTCATTATACTTTCAATCAACGTAGAGCAAAATGATCAGCTTGACAGATACTGTTATGAGTGAGTTCCGAGCAATTCATCCCATTTGTATATCAGCAATCACCAGACTTCAGCGTCACCTACAACACAGTCAGCAAGCAGCTTATGTGATGGTGACATAAACACCCATAATATAACCAAAACTATCTTGACCAGTGACCAGGGATGTGCTCTGTTGAGAATCTTGTGTCATCACATTAATGGATCAGACTGACCAAGGCTATGGGACTCGACATCTATCAAGGCTAAGGGACTTGATTCCTTCATCTGCCACTTTCTTCAGTATGTAATCTCTGTAATTTAGATCAGGTAACTTCACAGGGGCTCATTAATTAAATATTTATGTGGATAAGTAAAATAATACAATATGACAATTGTATTGTCAGAAAGAAAGGGGGGAGGCGGGAACATTTTTTCAGCGCTCTCAAGAAAAATTCGAAAAATTATGAAAATGAGTTATTCATATAGAAAAATAGCTTAACTCTTTGGCAACACAATGGTACAAGAATCAATGTTCTACAACGTTTCTACAAGAAATTATAGTCATTTATATCAGGTATGGTGGCGGCGATGTAGGTAGCGCGTCTGTTCTCAACCCATGTATTTTTTGGAATTTTTTCCTTGTTTTTTATCACTTTTTCTTTGCATTATTCTTTCTAATATAATAATTGATTATTTGGCATCATATAAGAGTAGTTGGAGCTTATCAATAGACGTCTAGCCTATCGGGAAGCACCTGGTACACTCGGCAGTGCTCCCTCTCCATACGGCGCCAGGTGAAATCACTTCATTATTACGCTTATATCAGCTTATGTATTAACTATACGGCTTATTTATCTATCAGAATTGATCTAATATGATATAATAATCACTGTAAATAACAAACAAACATGTTATATACTCTAGACTGAATAAAATAGGCCATAATATAGCGCGAGTCCACCAGCAATATCTCGATATAAAAAAGTTACTCCTCGTCTCCATGTTGTATTGTTTGGTCTGTGAGTGAGAGAAATCGATGTTTTGAAGAGGATAACTGCACTAGAACATCAGTTTACTAAGAAATACACCGAAACAAACGCGATTTTCGCGAAAAAAAAAAAAAAAAATTTTGACGGTAGGCCTGCCGGCGTTCTAGGCCTATATATCGGAAGTAACTTATTCACTTATTTCGCTAACCAGCACCATTATTAATGATTGTATTGAAATGATTTTCACAGACAATATAAAACAAAGTGTGTTTTAAATTTTAATGATAGATTTTTTGGAATATCTCAAATATTTTTGATTTTGTGGGGGGTAAAAGGCAGATATTTTGGTGAATGCCAAAAATTCTGTCAAATGTATTTTTTTTTTACCATGATAATAAGATATATTAGATGAAATGGCAATGTAAAAAATTCGTGCTAGTTGTATTCTAACAGTTGGGAATGTCGGAAGTGCCACTCGTAGTGCCAATTTGTCAGGGGATGCTGCCATATATCAAAATTATGTTAATATTTTTTTTCTATGTTGTTTGTTGGCCAATCATACTGAAACTTTGTCACATTAAACTATATATGCACCTCTAAAAGTACACCAAAAATAAAATAAATCGGTTGAAAAAAAATATATATTCCCGCCTCCCCCTTAAAGAAAAGCTTCCTGTTTGGTAGAGTATTACAGGAAAATTATTTAAGGAAAGCTGTCCTGTAATAGTGTGACTAAAAAAATAATCCTGTTTGGTGCAGTATGAAAGGAAAACTGTTCTGTTGGGATGCAGCATCTCAGAAAACCATCTTGTGTTTGACAGGTAAACTGTTGGATTTTGTTCTTACAGTGTAATAATAATAATAATATCTTTATTTACTACGAGTACATGTACAAGGTATACAGTCCTAGCTGACAACAATGACATATTACTATATAGAAAGCCCCTTGTTATGCTCCGCATGTCGGGCAAATTAGGTCAGTGTCCCAGGATGCGACTCACACCAGTCGACTAACACCCAGGTACCCATTTTACTGATGGGGAACATAGACAACAGGTGGGCAACAGAATTCTGGTGAGGTATCCGATTTCATGAACACAAAAATATAGTTGAGTTACTTGTTGTGCAGGTAGCTACAGTACTGGAGTGTGCAGCAGTGTGTGCCCAGTTGTCTGGTGTAGGCTACAACTTGGCACTCTCTCCTGGGGCACCCCAGGATTGTCTCGTCCTTGGCACTCACACCAACACCACCGTCAACGGCAATTACACCTTCTACTGTGGAGGTAAATGTATTAGTGTTTCTTTTGTCACATTTCTCTTAGTACTGCTTTACTGTCACTAGTATTGGTCCGGTGTCCCATGTTTCACTGTCGTTCGTATTGTGTGGATGCTCCTTGTTCTGCCTTGCTATCTCCAGTACCGTAATAGACACCCCACGCTAACACCATCGCAGACAGTGGAGGTGGTGTCTGGAGTGGCTCTCAATCTACCTAGTCTTTCACTACAGCTCCCAGTGTTGTCCTACTACTTTCACATCTAGACCTATTTTTATACAAATACATATATAACAGTATCGAACAACCATGCGTCCAGTGTACCCTTAGTCTTGTTGGAGTTTTGTCAGAAGGGGGATACTGTATTAGCTGTGGTACCTGTTAGTATCACATTATTTCATTATCTCCAAATATATATTTATTAAGAGGACTCCACTAGCAATAGTGAGGATATATTACCAAAAACAACTGGTGGGAGCTCCATTGTTGGTGCTAGGGAGGATAGGAATAAGACAGGGAAACATGCACCAACAGGGAATACAGTCACAGAAACCCAAGGCAAACGGAAACCAAGCCTGTGCACATACTATGCACTTGGTATCTGCAGACATGGGAAATCTGGAAAAACAGACGGGACGTGCAACTTTGACCACCCTAGAAAATGCCGTGCCCATATGACAACAGGAAAATGCAAACTCCCTTCCTGTAAGCTTTTTCACCCTGAAATGTGTACCTCTTCAGTACAGGAAAGACTGTGCTATAACTTAAATTGCCAGGCACACTATCTAAAGGGTACAAAAAGATACAAAACATCCAGGCTATGGGAAAACCTGGGTAGCCACAGCCACTCAAGAGGGAGAGGTTTTTTAGTGCCAGGAAGGAAAAAAAAAACTGGCAGGAAATGCCAAATCAAAGTCGAGAACAACGTCCAGTATTGGGCCCCTACTTAAACAAGATGTGTCCTACACAGATGACAGCAAGGAAATGAGTGAGCTACTCAAGTCCCAATATGACTCAGTTTTTAGCAAGCCGCTAACCAGGCTGAGAGTCGAAGATCAAAATGAATTTTTTATGAGAAAGCCACAAAATTTGGTTAACACAAGCCTATCCGATGTTATCCTGACGCCAAATGACTTCGAACAGGCGATAAATGACATGCCCATGCACTCTGCCCCAGGGCCAGACTCATGGAACTCCGTGTTCATCAAGAACTGCAAGAAGCCCCTATCACGAGCCTTTTCCATCTATGGAGAGGGAGCAGGACACGGGGTCGTCCCACAGTTACTAAAAACAACAGACATAGCCCCACTCCACAAAGGGGGCAGTAAAGCAACAGCAAAGAAAATACAGACCAATAGCACTAACATCCCATATCATAAAAATCTTTGAAAGGGGCCTAAGAAGCAAGATCACCACCCATCTAGAAACCCATCAGTTACACAACCCAGGGGAACATGGGTTTAGAACAGGGGCGCTCCTGTCTTGTCTCAACTATTGGATCACTACCGACAAGGTCCTAAATGCACTAGAAGATAAAAAGAATGCAGAGTAATATGTACAGACTTTGCAAAAGCCTTTGACAAGTGTGACCATGGCGTAATAGCGCACAGAATGCGTGCTAAAGGAATAACAGGAAAAAGTCGGTCGATGGATCTATAATTTCCTCACAAACAGAACACAAAAGGTAGTCGTCAACAGAGTAAAGTCCGAGGCAGCTACGGTGAAAAGCTCTGTTCCACAAGGCACAGTACTCGCTCCCATCTTGTTCCTCATCCTCATATCCGACATAGACAAGGAGTCAGCCACAGCACCGTGTCTTCCTTTTTCAGATGACACCCCCAATCTGCATGACAGTGTCTTCCATTGCAGACACTGCAAGGCTCCAGGGGACATCAACCCAATCTTTCAGTGGGCTGCAGAAAACAATATGAAGTTCAACGATGAGAAATTTCAATTAAATCAGATATGGTAAACACGAGGGAAAATTAAATCTTCATCAGAGTACAAAACAAATTCTGGCCACAAAATAGAGCGAAACACCAACGTCAAAGACCTGGGAGTGATCATGTCGGAGGATCTCACCTTCAAGAACCATAACATTGTATCAATCGCATCTGCTAGAAAAATGACAGGATGGATAATGAGAACCTTCAAAACTAGGGAGGCCAAGCCCATGATGACACTCTTCAGGTCACTTGTTCTATCTAGGCTGGAATATTGCTGCACACTAACAGCACCTTTCAAGGCAGGTGAAATTGCTGACCTAGAAAATGTACAGAGAACCTTCACGGCGCGCATAACGGAGATAAAACACCTCAATTACTGGGAGCGCTTGAGGTTCCTAAACCTGTATTCCCTGGAATGCAGACGGGAGAGATACATGATTATATACACCTGGAAAATCCTAGAGAAACTAATACCGAACTTGCACACGAAAATCACTCACTACGAAAGCAAAAGACTTGGCAGACGATGCAACATCCCCCCAATGAAAAGCAGGGGTGTCACTAACACGTTAAGAGACCATACAATAAGTGTCAGGGGCCCGAGACTGTTCAACTGCCTCCCAGCATACATAAGGGGGATTACCAACAGACCCCTGGCAGTCTTCAAGCTGGCACTGGACAAGCACCTAAAGTCGGTTCCTGACCAGCCGGGCTGTGGCTCGTACGTTGGTTTGAGTGCAGCCAGCAGCAACAGCCTGGTTGATCAGGCTCTGATCCACCATGAGGCCTGGTCACAGACCGGGCCGCGGGGGCGTTGACCCCCGGAACTCTCTCCAGGTAAACTCCAGGTACGTTAATTTTACAGTATGTTCTAGCCTGGATCATAGCCCGTTATTCCATACTAACGCTGCTGTTTCTATATTAATCTTACTCTCACCCCCCTTCCTGACCACTCACCTCCTGATGTTCCACTGACTACTGCCGTTGTTTCCACAGACTGTAAGACCCTGGGTCAATCTTGTACCCAGAACAGTGACTGTACAACACTGGAGCCTCTGGCCAGTTGCAGCGGTGGCGTCTGTTCCTGTCCGCCAGCGTACAGTGTTTCAGGAACGCAGTGCATAATGGGTATGAATATCTGTATAATATATTTAGTATGATGAACAGGACATTTTTCGTGTTACTAGTTTGTGTTAGAGTGCTTACTGTTATGGAAGCGACCTAGAACAGTCAACCAACTCCAGGTTTCTATTTACTGCTAAGTAAATAAGCAGCAGGTGTGAGACTTACTTATATGTTTGGGTTTGCCAAGAAATCGAGTCCTCATCCTTGTCATTTAAGTCAAGTGCATCCCATTTTGCTTAGCATTTGATAGTAAGCATAGAAACATCAAGTTACAAGCAAAATGTTGATAATACGCACCATGGATGTTTTTACCCTCCTTCCCTAATTGTGTCGAAGGATCAGGCATTTGGCGATAGTTAGTTAAATATCTATATTATGCGCCCAATACTCATCCTGTGGACGATAGTCAAAAGATTACAGAGGTACATAAAGGGTCCAGGGACTGGATCGCAAACTTTTGATAGTTACTTTCCTTTTCTCATTCTGGTGTAGTAGAAATATAAACTTTTGTAGTGATGTATAAGCTTGTGCATTATATAAACATTGGAACTAATCTATAACATAACATCTAACATGAACACAATATTAATGAAATCAATTGATCACAGTTCAAATTATATCTTTCATTATTTCAAAGTTATAAGCAAATTTTAAGGAAAGGGGACATCTCCCCGCTATTTACGTCATAAATGAATTATTAGTTATTTTTTTCTTCGGACTGTTCAGTTCCCATCCTGGTTGATAGGTGTTGATAAAATTCTCTTGTGTTGCCAGTGCCAGTGGGGTTGGGTGGCACCTGTGTTGTGAATGCCCAGTGCCAAGCAAATACCATGAACTCTACATGTAATCCAAGCAACATGACATGTGTGTGTCAGCCTCACTTCAACGTCAACGCTTCGGGGAATGGCTGCCTATTTGGTGAGACATGTTTCTTATTTCAGTTAGTTTTTTTATTATATTTACTAGAGATATTGAACTCCTCTTGGGAGGTACCTGGATGCCGGTGAAGTCTCTTCATCCACGGAACTCCCTCCAAGTACTCTGACCTCTAAGGGTTTAGCGTTTTCCCTCCATAATTAAAAATATAAAAAATGTATATATTTGTGAGTTTTAAGGCACAGGGCCAGGAGCTCCGACTCAACCCTAGCAACAGTAAATAAGTAAGGTGATTACAGATAAGTGCATAATTTGTGTCGAGTGAATGATGTGTTAGGATTGCATTTAATTAGTTACCATTCTGTCCTAGGCACATATCGAATAGAACTAGGCCTAGTCTGTGTGGTTTTGTGTGTTTACCTGGAGTTTACCTGGAGAGAGTTCCGAGGGTCAACGCCCCCGCGGCCCGGTCTGTGACCAGGCCTCCTGGTGGATCAGAGCCTGGTCAACCAGGCTGTTGCTGCTGGCTGCACGCAAACCAACGTACGAGCCACAGCCCGGCTGGTCAGGAACTGACTTTAGGTGCTTGTCCAGTGCCAGCTTGAAGACTGCCAGGGGTCTGTTGGTAATCCCCCTTATGTATGCTGAGAGGCAGTTGAACAGTCTCGGGCCCCTGACACTTATTGTATGGTCTCTTAACGTGCTAGTGACACCCCTGCTTTTCATTGGGGGGATGTTGCATCGTCTGCCAAGTCTTTTGCTTTCGTAGTGAGTGATTTTCGTGTGCAAGTTCGGTACTAGTCCGTCTAGGATTTTCCAGATGTATATAATCATGTATCTCTCCCGCCTGCGTTCCAGGGAATACAGGTTTAGGAACCTCAAGCGCTCCCAGTAATTGAGGTGTTTTATCTCCATTATGCGCGCCGTGAAGGTTCTCTGTACATTTTCTAGGTCAGCAATTTCACCTGCCTTGAAAGGTGCTGTTAGTGTGCAGCAATATTCCAGCCTAGATAGAACAAGTGACCTGAAGAGTGTCATCATGGGCTTGGCCTCCCTAGTTTTGAAGGTTCTCATTATCCATCCTGTCATTTTTCTAGCAGATGCGATTGATACAATGTTATGGTCCTTGAAGGTGAGATCCTCCGACATGATCACTCCCAGGTCTTTGACGTTGGTGTTTCGCTCTATTTTGTGGCCAGAATTTGTTTTGTACTCTGATGAAGATTTAATTTCCTCGTGTTTACCATATCTGAGTAATTGAAATTTCTCATCGTTGAACTTCATATTGTTTTCTGCAGCCCACTGAAAGATTCGGTTGATGTCCGCCTGGAGCGGACATCATTGCAGTGTCTGCAATGGAAGACACTGTCATGCAGATTCGGGTGTCATCTGCAAAGGAAGACACGGTGCTGTGGCTGACATCCTTGTCTATGTCGGATATGAGGATGAGGAACAAGATGGGAGCGAGTACTGTGCCTTGTGGAACAGAGCTTTTCACCGTAGCTGCCTCGGACTTTACTCTGTTGACGACTACTCTCTGTGTTCTGTTAGTGAGGAAATTATAGATCCATCGACCGACTTTTCCTGTTATTCCTTTAGCACGCATTTTGTGCACTATTACGCCATGGTCACACTTGTCGAAGGCTTTTGCAAAGTCTGTATATATTACATCTGCATTCTTTTTATCTTCTAGTGCATTTAGGACCTTGTCGTAGTGATCCAATAGTTGAGACAGACAGGAGCGACCTGTTCTAAACCCATGTTGCCCTGGGTTGTGAAACTGATGGGTTTCTAGATGGGTGGTGATCTTCCTTCTTAGGACCCTTTCAAAGATTTTTATGATATTGGATGTTAGTGCTATCGGTCTGTAGTTCTTTGCTGTTGCTTTTCTGCCCCCTTTGTGGAGTGGGGCTATGTCTGTTGATTTTAGTAACTGTGGGACGACCCCCGTGTCCATGCTCCCTCTCCATAGGATGGAAAAGGCTCGTGATAGGGGCTTCTTGCAGTTCTTGATGAACACGGAGTTCCATGAGTCTGGCCCTGGGGCAGAGTGCATGGGCATGTCATTTATCGCTTGTTCGAAGTCATTTGGCGTCAGGATAACATCTGATAGGCTTGTGTTAACCAAATTTTGTGGCTCTCTCATAAAAAATTCATTTTGATCTTCGACTCTCAGTCTGGTTAGCGGCTTGCTAAAAACTGAGTCATATTGGGACTTGAGTAGCTCACTCATTTCCTTGCTGTCATCTGTGTAGGACCCATCTTGTTTAAGTAGGGACCCAATACTGGATGTTGTTCTCGACTTTGATTTAGCATAGGAAAAGAAATACTTTGGGTTTCTTTCGATTTCATTTATGGCTTTTAGTTCTTCCCGCGATTCCTGACTCCTATAAGATTCCTTTAGCTTGAGTTCGATGCTTGCTATTTCTCTGACCAGTGTCTCCCTACGCATTTCAGATATATTGACCTCTTTTAGCCGCTCTGTTATTCTTTTCCGTCGCCTGTAAAGGGAGCGCCTGTCTCTTTCTATTTTATATCTACTCCTCCTTTTTCTTAGAGGAATAAGCCTTGTGCATACATCGAGTGCCACCAAGTTAATCTGTTCTAGGCATAAGTTGGGGTCTGTGTTGCTTAGTATATCTTCCCAGCTTATATCGGTTAGGACTTGGTTTACTTGGTCCCACTTTATGTTTTTGTTATTGAAGTTGAATTTGGTGAATGCTCCCTCGTGACTAGTCTCCTTATGTCGGTCTGGGGCTCCACGCATACATGTCTGAACCTCAATTATGTTGTGATCTGAGTATATTGTTTTTGATATGGTGACATTTCCTATCAGATCATCATTGTTAGTGAAGATGAGGTCTAATGTATTCTCCAGTCTAGTAGGCTCTATTATTTGCTGGTTTAAATTGAATTTTGTGCAGAGATTTAAAAGCTCGTGTGAGTGTGAGTTTTCATCAGAGCTGCCTCCTGGTGTTGTTACTGCAACAATATTATTTGCTATATTCCTCCACTTTAGGTGCCTTAAGTTGAAATCCCCCAGGAGCAAGATGTTGGGTGCAGGAGCTGGAAGATTTTCCAGACAGTGGTCAATTTTTAACAGCTGTTCCTGGAATTGCTGGGATGTTGCATCCGGAGGCTTGTAGACTACCACAATGACTAGGTTTTGGTTCTCGACCTTTACTGCTAAAACTTCCACTACATCATTTGAGGCATTTAGCAGTTCTGTGCAAACAAGTGACTCTGCAATGTACAGGCCAACCCCCCCCCCCTTTTGCCTGTTCACTCTGTCACATCTGTATAGTTGTAACCTGGACCCATATTTCGTTGTCCAATTGATCCTTTATGTGGGTCTCAGTGAAAGCCGCGAACATTGCCTTTGCCTCTGCAAGCAGCCCACGGTTGAAAGGTATTTTGTTGTTTGTTGCTGGCTTTAGACCCTGTATATTTGCAAAGAAGAATGTCATCGGACTGGTGGTATTGTTGGTACTAGGGGGGGATTTTTTTTCCGGCATTAGTATCTGTATCTGTTGGTTTGGAGTGGAGGCCATCGACTGTGGTTCCATTCCAGGAATGACTGGATTTGTGTACGATTTCTCCCATTTCCTGCCAGTTTTTTTTCCTTCCTGGCACTAAAAAACCTCTCCCTCTTGAGTGGCGTGGCTACCCAGGTTTTCCCATGGCCTGGATGTTTTGTATCTTTTTGTACCCTTTAGATGGTGTGCCTGGCAATTTAAGTTATAGCACAGTCTTTCCTGAACTGAAGGGGTTTACACATTTCAGGGTGAAAAAGCTACAGGAAGGGAGTTTGCATTTTCCTGTTGTCATATGGGCATGGCATTTTCTGGGGTTTGGTCATAGCAAGCCGTAACCAGACTGAGAGTCGAAGATAAAAATTAATTTTTTATGAGAGACCCAAACAAAATTTGATTAACACAACCCTATCCGATGTTATCCTGACGCCAAATGACTTCAAAACAGGCGATAAATGACATGCCCATGCACTCTGCCCCAGGGCCAGACTCGTGGAACTCTGTGTTCATCAAGAACTGCAAGAAGCCCCTATCACGAGCTTTACCATCCTATGGAGAGGGAGCATGGACACGGGGGTCGTCCCACAGTTACTAAAAACAACAGACATAGCCCCACTCCACAAAGGGGGCAGTAAAGCAACAGCAAAGAACTACAGACCAATAGCACTAACATCCCATATTCATAAAAATTTTTGAAAGGGTCCTAAGAAGCAAGTCACCACGCATCTAGAAACCAATCAGTTACAAAAACCCAGGGCAACATGGGTTTAGAACAGGTCGCTCCTGTCTGTCTCAACTATTGGACCACTACGACAAGGTCCTAAATGCACTAGAAGACAAAAAGAATGCAGATGTAATATATACAGACTTTGCAAAGCCTTCGACAAGTGTGACCATGGCGTAATAGCCCCACAAAATGCGTGCTAAAAGGAAAAAACAGGAAAAGTCGGTCGATGGATCTATAATTTCCTCACTAACAGAACACAGAGAGTAGTCGTCAAAAGAGTAAAGCCCGAGGCAGCTACGGTGAAAAGCTCTGTTCCACAAGGCACAGTACTCGCTCCCATCTTGTTCCTCATCCTTATATCCGACATAGACAAGGATGTCAGCCCCCGCACCGTGTCTTCCTTTGCAGATGACACCCGAATCTGCTTTGACAGTGTCTTCCATTGCAGACACTGCAAAGCCCCGGGGCAGACATCAACCAAATCTTTCAGTGGGCTGCGAAAACAATATGAATTCAACGATGAGAAAATTTCAATTACTCAGATATGGTAAACATGAGGAAATTAAATCTTCATCAGAGTACAAAACAAATTCTGGCCACAAATAGAGCGAAACACCAACGTCAAAGACTTGGGAGTGATCGTGTCGGAGGATCTCCCCTTCAAGGACCATAACATTGTATCAATCGAAATCTGCTAGAAAAATGACAGGATGGGGATAATGAGACCTTCAAAACTAGGGAGGCCAAGCCCATGATGACACTCTTAGGTCACTTGTTCTATCTAGGCTGGAAATTATTGCTGCACACTAACAGCACCTTTAAAAGGCAGGGGGAAATTGCCGACCTAGAAAATGTACAGAGAACTTTCACGGCGCGCATAACGGAAAATAAAACACCTCAATTATTGGGAGCGGCTTGAGGTTTTCCTAAACCTGTATTCCCTGGAACGCAGGAGGGAGAGATACATAAATTATATACACCTGGAAAATCCTAGAGGACTAGTACCGAACTTGCACACGAAAATCACTCATTACGAAAGCAAAAGACTTGGCAGACGATGCCCCATTCCCCCCAATGAAAAGCAGGGGTTTCACTAGCACGTTAAGAGACCATACAATAAGTGTCAGGGGCCCGAGACGTTCAACTGCCTCCCAGCACACATAAGGGGGATTACCAACAGACCCCTGGCAGTCTTCAAGCTGGCACTGGACAAGCACCTAAAGTCAGTTCCGGATCAGCCGGGCTGTGGCTCGTATGTTGGTTTGCGTGCAGCCAGCAGCAACAGCCTGGTTGATCAGGCTCTGATCCACCAGGAGGCCTGGTCTCAGACCGGGCCGCGGGGGCGTTGACCCCCGGAACTCTCTCCAGGTAAACTCCAGGTATAGTTGCACGTCCCGTCTGTTTTTCCAGATTTCCCATGTCTGCAGATACCAAGTGCATAGTATGTGCACAGGCTTGGTTTCCGTTTGCATTGGGTTTCTGTGACTGTATTCCCTGTTGGTGCATGTTTCCCTGTCTTATTCCTATCCTCCCTAGCACCAACAATGGAGCTCCCACCAGTTGTTTTTGTGTGTGTGTATACAGTGTTATTGTATATGTGTTTATGTTACCTGTTAGAGGGGGTTTGCCCTGCCGCCCAACTCTACATTACCAGCATAAACTCCAGATAACTGTCAGCAAGCTTAGCATGTGTACTGCTCTTCTACATGTGTCTCAGAATGTTCTGCTGCTGGGTTTAGCTCTGGCTCTTTTTGTACAACTCAAGAAGTACTTCTCCAGAGCTATTCTTCAACTGTTCCTTCTCTCCTCCTCACTCCTAGTGGATCCTAACCTGTCAGTCCCTTCGATTTGATTCAGAGGGGTTGCAAAGTTAGTGCTAGTTATCAATATGTTTTAGGTGTGTTCTGTATGCCTATGTATGTATTATATATATGAAGTCTTAAATAAAGTTAAAAAAAATAAGTACATAAACATATGAAAACAAACGCAGATTTTAACCTGGATAAGTAAGATAAAAAAATCTCTATTTTTTTCCAGATTACGCAGGTTATGGCTTCACCTCATACAATGGTCGCTATGTGTACCACTTAGTGGGCGGTCCGACACCTTCCACCTGGAACTATGCATTCGTCTTCTGCACGTGGATCATGTCCAGGATGTTCATACCTCGTAATTCCGCTGAATGGGACTGGATGGAACAGACGACAAGAACCTTCTTAGACACATACGTTTACTTCCCTATCAATGACAAGTCTAATGAGGGCAACCCAGTGTGGAACAATGGCACAAGTGAGGGGAAAAATGGGGTGATGAGTGAACGTATTGGTTTATTATAAGGGGGTGATGTTTACTGTATGAGAGATACATGCTGGCTATCGTTAGAATAATGTGCGCTATTTTAGTGTGTGTGTGTGTGTGTGTGCTCCCCTATTTGTAGTTGAAGGGGTTGATTCTCAGCTCATCACCCTGCCTCTTAACTTTCTACTCTTCAGACTTACTCCCTCTTAGCCTCGTGGGCCCTATCGTACCTGTTCTTACAACTAATGTGTGTGGGTGTGTATTCCACCTCTCAACTTGCCACTTGCCAAATTCAGAACTGGAATAATATTTGTAGGTCTCTGGGCTACAGGTACTGTGAGGGGCCCCGGGCCTTACAGGTACTGTGAGGCCTCTGGGCTACAGGTACTGTGAGAACCCTGGGTTACAGTTACTGTGAGGGGCCCCGGGGCTACAGGTACTGCGAGGGGCCCGGGACTACAGGTACTGTGAGGGGCCCCAGGGCTACAGGTACTGTGAGGGGCCCCAGGGCTACAGGTACTGTGAAGGGCCCCGGGGCTATAGGTACTGAGGGGCCCCAGGGCTACAGGTACTGTGAGGGCCCCGGAGCTACAGGTACTGTGAGGGGCCCCGGGGCTACAGGTACTGTGAGGGGCCCCAGGGCTACAGGTACTGAGGGGCCCCGGGGCTACAGGTACTGTGAGGGGCCCGGGACTACAGGTACTGTGAGGGGCCCCGGGGCTACAGGTACTGTGAGGGGCCCGGGACAACAGATACTGTGAAGGGCCCCGGAGCCACAGGTACTGTGAGGTGCCCCAGGGCTACAGGTACTGTGAGGGGCCGGGGACTACAGGTACTGTGAGGGGCCCCGGGGCTACAGGTACTGTGAGGGACTCCAGGGCTACAGGTACTGTGAGGGGCCCCGGAGCTACAGGTACTGTGAGGGGCCCCAGGGCTACAGGTACGTGAGGGGCCCCCGGGCTACAGGTACGTGGGGGGCCCCAGGGCGCAATATGTGGGGGCCCCCCCGGGCTACAGGTCCTGGAGTTTCCTGGAGGGGTTTCCCGGGGGGTCAACCCCCCCCCGCGGCCCGTTGTGACCAGGCCCCTGGTGGATCAGAGCCTGATAACCAGACTGTTGCTGCTGGCTGCACGCAAACCAACGACGAGCCCCCCCCGGGGTGGGAAACCCGACTTTAGGTGTTGTCCATGCCGCTGAAGACTCCCGGGGGGGTTTTTGGTAATCCCCCTTATGTATGCTGGGAGGCAGTTGAAATTCGGGCCCCTGACATTATTGTATGGTCTTTTAAACGTGCTAGTGACCCCCTGCTTTTCATTGGGGGGTTTTGCATCGTTCCCAAAGTTTTTTTGCTTTCGTAGTGATGATTTTCGTGGCAAGTTCGGTACTAGTCCCTCTGGGGATTTTCCAGTTATATAACATGTATCTCTCCCCCCTACATTCCAGGGAATACAGGTTTAGGAACCTCAAGCACCCCAGTAATTGAGGTGTTTTTATCCCGTTATGCGTGCCGTAAAGGTTTCTGACATTTTCTAGGTCAGCAATTTCACCGCCTTGAAAGGTGCGTTAGTGTGAGCAATATTCCAGCCTAGATAGAACAAGTGCCCTGAAGAGTGTCATCATGGCTTGGCACCCTTTTTGAAGGTTCCATTTTCCACCCTTCATTTTTCTAGCAGTGTGATTGATGCAAGTTAGGCCCTTAAAGGTGAGTCCCCCGACATGATCCTCCGGTCTTTGCGTTGGTGTTTCGTCTTTTGTGGCCAGAATTTTTTTTGTACTCTGATGAAGTTTTAAATTTTCCCCCTGTGTTTACCATTCTGAGTAATTGAAATTTCTCATGTTAAACTTCTATTGTTTTCGCGGGGCCCACTAAAAATTTTGGTTGAGCCCGCCTGGAGCCTTGCAGTGTCTGCAAGGAAGCACTGTCATGCAGATTGGGTGTCTCGCAAAGGAAGACACCGGGCTGTGGTGACACCCTTGTCTTTGTCGGATATGGGGTGAGGAAAAGGGGAGCGATCTGGCCTTGTGGAACAGAGCTTTTCCCCGTACTCCCTCGGACTTTCCTGTTGCGACTACTCTCTGTGTTCTGTTGGAGGAAATTATAGATCCATCGACCGACTTTTCCTGTTATTCCTTTAGCACGTTTTTTTGTGCGCTATTACGCCAGGTCACACTGTCAAAGGCTTTTGCAAAGTCTGTTATATTACATCTGTTTCTTTTTGTCTTCTAGTGCATTTAGGACCTTGTCGTTGATCCAGTATTGAGACAGACAGGAGCGACCTGTTCTAAACCCCTTTGCCTGGGGTTTTTGTAACTGATGGGTTTCTAGAGGGTGGTGACTTGTTCTTAGGATATGATTGGGGGTTTAGTGCTATCGGTTTTAGACTTTTCTGTTGCTTTCTGCCCCCTTTGTGAGTGGGGCTATGTCTGTTTATTTTAGTAACTGTGGGACGACCCCGGGCCATGCTCCCTCTCCTAGAATGAAAAGGCTCGTGATAGGGGCTTCTTGCAGTTCTTTATGAACCGGAGTTCCATAAGTATGGCCCTGGGGGGGGGGGGGAGTGCAGGGCTGTCATTTATCGCTGTTCGAAGTATTTTGGGGTCAGGATAAACACGGGTAGGCTTTGTTAACCCAAATTTTGTGGGGTCTCCATAAAAAAATTTATTTTGATCTTCGATCTCAGTCTGGTTAGCGGGTTTTAAAACTGAGTCATATTGGGATTGAGAACTCACTCATTTCCTTTCTGCATCTGTGTAGGACCCACTTGTTTAAGTAGGGCCCAATACTGGACGTTGTTTTTGAATTTTATTTGGGGATAGGAGAAGAAATACTTTGGGTTTCTTTCGATTTCATTTTTGGCTTTTGTTCTTCCCGCGATTCCCGACTCCCATAAAAAATTCCTTTAGCTGGTTTTGATGCTTGCTATTTCCTGACCCTGTTCCCTACGCATTTTTAGATAATTGACCTCTTTTAGCCCCTCTGTTTTTTTTTTTCTGTCGCCTGAAAAAGGGAGCGCCCGTTCTTTCTATTTTTCATCTACTCCTCCCTTTTTTTTGAGGAAAAGCCTTGTGATACTTGAGTGCCACCAATTAACTGTTCTAGGCATAAGTTGGGGGGTGTGTTGTTAGTTTATCTTCCCAGTTATATCGGTTAGGTTTTTGGGTTTTCTTGGTCCCCCCTTTTGGTTTTGTTATTGAAGTTGAAATTTTGGGGAAGCTCCCTCGTGATATCTCATTATGTGGTCTGGGGCTCCCCGCATAATGTCTGAACCTCAATTATGTTTTTGATCTGAGTTATTGTTTTTGTATGGGACATTTCATATCAGATCATCATTGTTAGTGAAGATGAGGCTAATGTATTCTCCAGTCTAGTAGGCTTTAATTATTTGTGGTTTTTAAATTTAATTTTTTGCAGAGATTTAAAAACTCGTGTGAGTGTGGTTTTATCAGAGCTGCCCCTGGTGTTATTACTGCAACAATATTATTTGCTATATTCCTCCCCTTTAGGTGCCTTAAGTTGAAAAACCCCCAGGAGCAAAAATGTTGGGTGCAGGGCTGGGAAAATTTTCCAACATTGGCAATTTTTAACAGCTGTTCCTGGAATTGCTGGGATGTTGCATCCGGAGGCTTGTAGACTACCACAATGACTAGGTTTTGGTTTTCGACCCTTTTCTCTAAAGCTTCCCCAACTCTTTGAGGCATTTAAGCGTTTTGTGCAAACAAGTGACTCTGCAAGTACAGGCCCAACCCCCCCCCCTTTTGCCTGTTCCTCTGTCACATCTGTATAGGTTGTAACCTGGGATCCGTATTTCGTTGTCCTATGTGGGCCTCAGTAAAAGCCGCGAACAATGCCTTTGCCTCTGCAAGCAGTCCACGGATGAAAGGTATTTTGTTGTTGTTGCTGGCTTTAGACCCTGTATATTTGCAAAGAAGAATGTCATCGGACTGGTGGTATTGTTGGTACTGGGGGGGATTTTTTTTCCGGCATTAGTATCTGTATCTGTTGGTTTGGAGTGGAGGCCATCGACTGTGGTTCCATTCCAGGAATGACTGGATTTGGTGTACGATTTCTGCCATTTCCTGCCATTTTTTTTTTTTCTTCCTGGCACTAAAAAACCTCTCCCTCTTGAGTGGCTGTGGCTACCCAGGTTTTCCCATGGCCTGGATGTTTTGTATCTTTTTGTCCCCTTTAGATGGTGTGCCTGGCAATTTAAGTTATAGCACAGTCTTTCCTGTACTGAAGAGGTACACATTTCAGGGTGAAAAAGCTTACAGGAAGGGAGTTTGCATTTTCCTGTTGTCATATGGGCATGGCATTTTCTAGGGTGGTCATAGTTGCACGTCCCGTCTGTTTTTCCAGATTTCCCATGTCTGCAGATACCAAGTGCATAGTATGTGCACAGGCTTGGTTTCCGTTTGCCTTGGGTTTCTGTGACTGTATTCCCTGTTGGTGCATGTTTCTCTGTCTTATTCCTATCCTCCCTAGCACCAACAATGGAGCTCCCACCAGTTGTTTTTGGTAATATATCCTCACTATTGCTAGTGAAGTCCTCTTGTTTGCTATTTCCTGTGGTATTTCTAGTTTGCAATATTGGTTTTATCTTATCTTTGACTACACTTGTTTCCCCACTGTGGCTCCTGTCCCCTATGAGGTCATTTATATATATTCCTTCCTGCGTATAATTCCCGACTACCTGGACAAAATCTCCAGCTTCACCATTACTGTCTCCCAGGACAGCACCTCCGGTTTCACCATTACTGTCTCCCAGGACAGCACTATCAGCCCCACATTTACTGACTACCAGGACATCACCTCCAGCCTTACAGTTTCTGACTACATGGCCAGTATCAAGGGCAGTACCATTCAGCCCAGACTTTTTATGTTCCCATCTGTTGTAGAAAGCTTCCAGGTTGTCTATGAAAGCAGCTTTGATGTTATCCTCTTTTAATATCCTTGGGATTTTAGTCCACAGATTTATCTCATTTGGGCATACCCAAAAACACTTCCCTGTTTTAATACTGCTTGTAGCTAGTTCTTGGATATCTGCACAAGGGGCATGACACCAATTTCCACAAAAATGACAATTTATCCATGTGGAAGCCAGTTTGTTTGATTTACTGCAGACTACACAGAGCTTCATAATGATTTGAATGGTTGATTTACTGTAATTCAACTAGCAGCCTCTTGAATATTCTACTAATAACCTCCTTAAATGAAGCTCTAGCTATTTGTATTTCTATTTCTAACTGTACTTGTATATTGGACAGCTTACCGTGTACGTTCCTGATTTATATTTATTGTTTGTGTTTGATAAGGGCGCCTACAACCCCATCCGTTTATACTCTGCTTTATTGTCTAACGAATCCGTTTG